TCCTTTCTTTCTTTCTTTCTTTCTTTCTTTCTTTCTTTCTTTCTTTCTTTCTTTCTTTCTTTCTTTCTTTCTTTCTTTCTTTCTCTTTCTTCTTTCTGCTGGGGATAATACTCCAGGCCTCCAGCATGCTAAGCACGCTGGGTACCACTGAGCTACAACTCTAACCATTTTTTTTCAATATTTTCGCTATGAGGCTGGTGAATCTATGGATGCAGAATCTATGGATTTTGAGGGCCCAATGTAATCCTATATACCCTATTTAATACACTTTGCATACATCTATATCTGTATATATATGAAATATGTATCTTGGCTCACAATATCTGAAACATTTACAATTGACAATAGAAAAAGTTTGCCTAGCCTGGTGCTATATGATAGCTATGCCTGAAATGATCCTATAAAGACTCAAACACTAATAATAATAATAATAATAATAATAATAATAATACCTGTCCTTTTGGAGGCTCAGAAAGATTACATGATTTGCTAATGTCACACAGCTGGTAAGCAGCAGAGAGGAATTTTGCAGCTTAGAAGAAGAGAATAGGCATGAGGCTTGAATCCTGACTATGGGACACCTGTGGCCTCTAGCTTCTCTCCAGAGCTGCAGGGCAACCCTGTGACCCAGGCCTTCCTAATGAGCTAGCTCTTAATTATTATGGTCCTGTGTGAGGGCACCAGGGCCAGAAGCATCTGTCTTTCCAGCATTTTCTTTCCTGCTGGGCTCCCTGCCTGAGTGGCTCCTTTGTAACTTGGCGAGCTCCCTTGCACAAACCTGGACTTCCTCCCGGATGTCACTTTGTAGACTCAGGGAGGAGACCCTGCTATGGAGCCCTTGGGGCTCCCAGGCTAGTGGATAGGAGCTGACGGCCCACCTGGTGTCTCCTCCCAACTCATCCCTCCTGGGGTGACACAGGCCCCTTCTGGCCTCTTCTAGGAGCTTCTGCTAAGTGCATTTGCAGGAATCTGAGCCCAGTCTGAACATTGGCCCTGGAAACCTGTGTTTTTCGCATCAATCTTCCTAAGATAAACTACTCTGTAGCCTGTGTTCTCAGGCAGAGCTCCTGGTGTGCATTTGTTCTTTCCTGATAACTTTGTGTGCACATTAACAATTCTAGTCATGTGTGTGCTGTGGCAGAACGGCAACCCAGGTGGGAGCTAAACTGCCTGACCTTGAGAGTCCGGAGACCTTGTGGTTTTTAGTTCCTCACCTGAGGATGCATATAAGAGTGGTGCAGCTGCCTGCGCCTCAGTGTTCGTGAGCCATGGCTTCCAAGACCCTCAGTGCCAACAGCTGGCGCTCAAGTCCTTTGTGTAAAATGACATGGAATTTGCATATGAACTATGCAGTCCCGTATACGTCTAGTCATCTGTGATGACTTGTAACATCTGACACAGCCCAGTAAATTTTGTGTCAGTGGTTGTTACACTGTATTGCTTTGGACATTATGACAAGACAAGAAGGTACCTGCCTGAATGATTCTTTTGTCTTTGTCCCTGGCCTGCAGTGGGTGTGTCTGCAGGTGCAGAGCAGCAGCCCCCTAACTGAGGAGGGGAATGAGATCATTCACCCACAGTTCCGCTCTCAGGCGAGGAACACTGTGTCCCCCTGGGCACTGAGGCCATTGTGGCTCAAGTGCCATACGCTCCCCTCTGGACAGCAGTCCCCAGTCTTGGCTGTGTGCTAGATTCTTCTGGCAGGAGTGCTTTCAACATATCTGCTGCCGGGTCCATCCAAGAGTGGGGGAGTGAGCCCCCGGGGCCAGCACCTCTGCAGTTCAGGGACCCTGCTTGGATTTGTGTCCATCCAAGCTCAGTTACAGCCCTGCTGCTAGCTGGTGCCCAGATGTTTGCCCACACTGAGTGGCCCTCTCCTGCTGAACCTTTGGGAATTTACACTTTCCTTTTGGTTTCTGGTTGCTTCCCTGTCTTTCTTGTACTCTGCAGAGGAGCTATGTTTATTTCACACCAATACACCAGCACTGTGCTGAGCACTTTGCTTTTTTTGAGCAACTGCTTTTGACATTGTCTCTAGCTGCAACTCTTGGGTCCTGTTGGTGTCACTCCAGGGCCATGGGGGCCCACAGTGTGTGTGCCACCTTGCACCTGGGGACCAGGAGGCTGCCTGTAGTTCCTGCTGTTTCCCCCTTTGTTTTCCCCCAGGGCCAGAATCTGCATTCATCTTGTTCACAGATTTAGTACATCACCTAGAACCAAGGTCACACCCAGTAAGGGCTCCCTCAGGGGTGGCACTAACAGTCAGATGCCCTGCTGGAACCTGGGGCCCCCATCATGTCAGCACCCCTCTTTTACAGATCAGGAAACTGGGGGGCAGAAATGCTAACTGATTTGCCCAAGGTCCACAGGAAGTGGCCTGAGGTCTTCCAGACTCCCTCTGATTCCCCACAAGCCACTCAGGCTGGGAAACCAGCAAAAATGTTTTCCAAAAGAATTACCCAATAAACAAGTGGTCCTGGCCTATTTAGGGAGTCTCATTTCCCTTTGTCTTCCTGACAATCAAGTCCAGCTATTGTTTGCCAACAGATAAAACTGAACTGCTAACTAGAAAAGTCTGGCATTTCCTCTTCTTCTCTTCTCAGCCAAGTTCCTGTCCCTGACAGCCGTAGCAGAGCCATTTGTCCCTAGCCTGCAGAGGAGCCTGTGCTGGCGGCTTCTGGCTGCTTCCTCACGGCCAGAGAAAGGAAGGAGGGTGTGAACCCAGCCAAGAGGGACAGTCAGGCCTCTGGACTGGGCTGGCAGCCCCTTCTGGCTCCAGCTGTGGACACAGGTCCCTAAGAATACTCTGTCCCCTCCTCAGGTCCCCAAGTGAGGACTGTGCTAGGGTGGTCTGATAGTCTGCTCTAGGGCAGGAGGTCCTGGGTGGCTCGGCTGCTACCCTGAGGTCCTGTGGCTGTCTTGCTGGGCCTGCTCTCAGGGAAGTCACTTCACTTTATATAAATGTGCCCATGAAATGGTGCCTGATTAACATCCAGAATTTTCCATTAGTTTTCCTTTCAGTGAGTATGGCTGACTGATAACATTGACCTGGCTTCCAGGAAACCTGGAGTTGGGAACCCGACTGCATCACTGCCATGGCCTGGCTTGTGCACAGAGCCTCATGCTTCAGTGTCCTGCAGAATCACTTGTTCCAAAATAAGGACCTCTTGCCAGTTGAGGAGGGTCAGCCTTGGCACTGGATTTCTTACTGGCATTGGCAAGGTCTACACCGTGTAGGGTGTAGGGTAATTTCCAGCTCAGCCCTTAGGTGAAAGGTGGAGGTAATAGAGGGACCACAGGGCTGGGTGTTCCCCTGCCTAGTCTCAGTTCTCATTTCAAGTTCCAGGGAGGGGTAGGGAGAGGGGGGCACTTGGGAAGAGGACGTGTTTCTGGGAGCCTAGAACACAAAGATGCCAGGCAGAGCCCGAGGGACAGTTGTGAGGCCTTGGAAAGAGCAGAGAGGGTGGTGAACAGGGCAGGCTCACAGCATGGCTGATCGTGACCCTGCCCCACTTCTCCCTGAACTGCTCTCCTGGTTTTGTTGTGGAGGTGGACGGGGTGGCCTCTCAGCAGGTCCACATCTCAGGTTTGTTCCCACTTCCTGTCCACCCAATCTTATTAAACAGATGGTACATTTGCAGTCACTGCCTACCCCTGTCTCCACTGCGTCAATCCCCTGTTGGCTTTGGGTGCCATTGTCCCAGCCCACTAATGGGTCTCCTGGGCTCTGGTGTCGCCCTGCCCAACCCCTCCAGCAAGGCAAGGCAGTGCTTTCTTCTGAGGCACAGACTCTTCCATGGGGGGACAAGGACACATTTTGTCAACAGGCTGTCCCTGACCCTGGGGCACCCCATGGCACTAGCAGACCCCATGTGGGGGGGACACACCCTCCTTTGTGTGTTCCTCCTCCTCCCCCTCCCCCTTGAGAAAACACAGCACATTCCAGGGGAGGGATAGCACGCCCGGGTCACCTGGATGGCTCCTAATCAGTGACAGGGGACTGTACCACACCGCCGCTGCTCTGGAAATGTGGCAGGACAAGCGTGGTTGAGCAACATGAGCCCAAGGTTGGCCTGATGCCCTGGCAGGACTCAAGAGGCCACTCCCACCTCTCCCAGCCTGACCTTTCCATGTCTCTCGACACTGACCCTCACTTCTGTCCTAGGGGCACCTGTCCCCTTCCCACCCTCTGCTCCGTCCCCATGGCTCCTTGGACTTCTCAGTCCCAAGCCAGGACAAAGGCGGCCTTCACCTCTGGGCAGAAGGTGTACTTGTTTGTTACAGTGTGTGCAACACCGTGTATTATCAGGAATTTTTGAAAGTCAGCTTCTCTAGTAGAAAACAAACCCACTAGAAGCATGCAGTTGATTGATATATGTGTACCCTCCTGGAATAAGCTCAGATGTCTTTCCAACTCCCTGTGCTCCTCCCAGCTCTGTCCCCTCACCCCAGCCCTGTGAAGCCAAGGATCTGATCTAACGTTCATCAGGCAGATTAGGTGGTCTTTGGAATTCCACAGGAGTGGAGTGAAGACAGGGATGCTGTGGCGTCTTTCACTCCACACCAGGTTTTGGGGGCTCCTGTGCTCTGTGCACTGAAAGGTCATTTCATTTTTGCTGAGAACTCAACCAAGTGGAATGGAGCTCATGTCCAGTGGTGGGGTGAACACAGTCTGATTGTCCTACTGTCCCTGTCCTTGCTCCACTGAAAATTGACCCGAGACATCCTGGCAGATGCCATGTGGGTACCAGGGGTGGTAACCCACTACCTCAGTTTCCCCAGACTGAGGGATTTCTCAGGTTGCAGGAGCTTTGGTGCTAAAACCAGAGTTCCAGGAAGTCAGGTCACACAGGAAATGTGGGCCAGCTTGGCACAGTGGTGTGACACCGAGTCACAGAATGGACCTTGATTTCTCTAATTGATCCTAGCTCAGCTCATGGGTCCCGGTTTCACCAATGGTGGAGAAGTCTAGGTTTCCCAGCTTAGGGAAACTTGGGTCCTCTCAACCTGAGAGTGGTCACTCAAGCCTCTTTTCCTCTCTGAGTGCTGGCCACACAGGGAGCTTCCTGGTGATGGCTGTTGACCTGACCCTGGTCACATGCTGTAGCCTTTCCTGTGCCCTGCCTTGTGACTCGGTAGAGGTGGCCTGGGGACCTTGCAGAACCCTCTGAAGCTTGCCAGGTCACTTGAACTCTGGGGCTTCCCTCAGTCCGTGTCCCTGAGACACCCTCCCCCTCTATCTGTCCACAGGTGCCGTCATGGAGGAGGGGCAGCCATGGGAGGTATGTGGCCTGCAGAGTTTTAACAAATCAAAGCAAAAATAAAAACCAAACTGTCCTCTCTCAAGTGGCAGACTTAAAAGTCAAATTTTTAAAGATTTGAGCTTTCAAAATCAAACTGGGGACTATATGGTCTTCTTGGCGGACCCCTGAGCCTGCCCTCTGTAAGGATAGAAACACAGGGAGTATCATCCGCTGCCTGGGGACAGAGATGGGGGCATGATGGGCACAGAGGGGGAAGGAAGGGAGAGGCAGCTCTTGAGGGTGGCTCGATTGCTTCTTGGAGAAGTGAGCTGAGGATGCAGGGGCAAATGAGAAGGAGCTTGGCAGGAAGCAAAGCACAATGCTGGCTGAGCTCCCCACTTGTGGGGACACTGATAAGGCAGCCTGACCCCAGGGAGCATGTGTTTCCGGGGCAGACACAACAGGAGGGCTTTGCTGAACCTCCAGTCACCTGTGGTTGCTGGTAGCCCAGCTGGGTGCAGGGTTGGCCATGAGCTCCAACCCTCCTCTCTTGTTCCCTTTCCCTCAGCCTATCCCCATCCCAGGATTCATGGGGGCTGGGAGGAGCCTGGCATGTTATCTGTGTTAGATCCCAGAGCAAAGGACCGTTCTGTCATTCCACAAAATATTTGTCAAGTGCCCTCATGTATCAAGTATGTGTACTACCAACTTTTGTTTCTTCTGTGTTTGGTAAAATTTTGAAAGAACACAATGGGACATGGCCTCCTTAAGTGAGACATCTGCAAGGAATTTTATGTCTTTTCCAAGTTGCTGGCACACTTATAACATATAGAGTTAAAATGCTCAAATTGTGCATTCAGTTGCCTCTTTTTATCCATGAGTTCCACATCCATGGATTCAACCAACCACTGGTTAAAAATACTTGAAAACATTGCATCTGAACTGAACATGCATGGACTATATTTGTCACTATTCCTTAAAGAAAGCAGTGTTATAACTATTTGTGTGTAAGTCATCTAGAGATGATTGAAAGAATACATTCCATCATTGCAGGTTATATGCGAATGCTGCATCATTGTCCATAAGGGACTTGAATATCTGAGGAATTTGGGGTTAGTGGTGCAGGCATGAATTCTCCATGAATACTGAGGAATAACTATACTCATGCAGATTTATAACTCTCTGGAAGTTAGAGAGCTTCAAGGCCCAGCCCTGTTTAACATTTCATTTAAAAGAATTACTGAAAGATAATAATTGATAATTTAAAATCTTATTGAAGGCTCCTTAAGAATGTAAGAATGTGTTTACTTATAACATTTACTATTGGAAACAAACTGAAACAGAACCATGAGTGGGGATGGAAAGCAGCCAGAAGCAGGGCCCAGAGCTGGAGCTGCTGGGCCCCTGGGAGCCTGCAATCTCACCACCCTGATACTGTCTTCTCCACCAATGGAGATTGATCATAGGACTTGGCCCAAGATTTCACCATTGATAGCTCTTCATTGGTTGCATCTTTTCATGTTGAAAATGTATATTAGTCCCCTTTTCCCTCATTAGGACACAATAACTAACACCCATGACTTAAAGGAAGAGAGATTTTAATTGGTTCATGGTTTCAGAGGATTCATTCCATGGTCAGCTGGCTCCAAGGCAGGAACATCATGGCAGAAGGGAGTGGTGGAGCTAAGCTGCTTAGGTGATGGTGGCTGGGATGTAGAGCAGGGGAGCAGTGCCAGAGAGGAAGGGGAGAGAGATCAGATATAGTAACCAAGGCCACATCTCCACCTCTGTGCCCCATCCTGGCACACCAAAAAGTGTGCTCCACCAATCCCTCGGCAGCCCCAAACCAATCAAGTTGAAACAGTCAAGTATAAGCATCACATAAGAGGATGTGACATCACGTTTAGGAGAAGTTCCAAGGCATTTGCTGTGACTAACCATGTGGAAAAACCAGAACCGAGATGAATGTTTCCAAGGTCCCTTTCTGCTGGTTGGGTCAATAGATCTAAAGCTTCCTAACGGGCCCTTCCTGGTTCCCTGTGCCAATACTTGTAACCTTGTCATTTCCAGGGTTGGATGGCCCAGAGCTAGACTGGCAGCTGTTGCTGTTCAGAATATTTGAACAGATGTTGTTAATGCCAGAGTAAGGTGCAGTGGGCCTCCAAACAAAAAGAAATGTCCTCTCTTTATTTTAAGAAAATTGAACAACAACAAAAACTACCACTGATGAATGATTTTGTGGCAGGCCCTGTGTGGCAGCCTCTGAACACCTTGTGTTTCTGCCTGACACTCCTGAAGACACACTGTGGCCTTTGTTTTATAGGTGGGACTTTCAGACATGAAGGGTACATACAAGTGACTTGTGGAAGGTGTGTATCTAAGAGGTAGCTCTTACTTATTTTTATTAATTTTAGAGATTAAGACACATTCTCTTTCCAGATAGGCAAGAAACTGACAAAAAGGACCAAAAGTTAACATAAGGTTATGCAAATTGATCTTGTCATAGGACAGGGTCTAAGGAGTTTCCTCTAAAGAGGAGATAGGGACTTCAGCTTGCTCTGAGTAGGTTTGTTGACTCTCATCACAGAAAAAGATTTTAGGATGTTTTTGTGAGGCATGGACAGGTTTATTAGGCAGAGTTAGAAAGTAAGAGAAAATAGGGACAGGATTTCAACTTGAAGAGCTAAACCTCGGATGAAGAGGAACAGGCTGGACCTTTTATAAAAGAAGGAAACCAAGTTTTATGGTCTTGCTGGGCTGAACCAGACAGTCTGGTTCATCATTGTCTCATTTGGTTTTGCAAGATGGCTCCAGGAGAAGTCCTTATAGCTTGAGAGGGTAATTCAGTCCCCATGAGATGATTGCTTCTGTTTGGGGCAGTCTCAGCCTTGTGCAGAATTTGCAATCCAAGGTGATCATAACTTTAGGGCAATGACTGGAGCCTTCTGCGTGCTCACTGGTACTTGAATTTCCTTATAAATCTCTTATCTTGATGCCCTCAGTCCTGTTGGGGAATGGGATAGGTTATGCAAACTAACCTTGTTTTGCCAAATTTTAGACACACACTCTCTGAATGATTAGCATGTCTATATGTAGAACTGAGAGGGGATTTGCTCCCAAGTTTTAAGGTAACAAAGGAGAAAGATACAAAACGAAAGTCAAGGTTTATTCTGCTTTTAGTTACCTGTGGGCATCTGTAAGGCCAAAGGAGGAGTCGCTGTTCTTTACAGCTTAAGTTCCTGGCTGTCTCAGAAGAAAACACAAATCATGCTCTTGGTCAGTAACAGGGCCCAGAGGTTTGTTTGTCTTTTATGATCCTTGACTGTGTCAATGTTATGTAAAAAAACCCCCAAAATAACAAACCTCAAACCTTCCCTAAAAGGCAACAAAAAGAAAACTCAGGATATTTAAAGATTATGACATTAACATCTATTATATCATGATTTTTAAAAATGATGTTACCAAGGTTTACTTCAGTGACCCAAAGTTGAAATACGTATGGATGTATATAAAATAATGCATAATTATTGTTAAAAACTGCCCAAATAAAAAATGTGTAAACAAAAATCTCTCTTTTCCCCCATGATTCTAATTCTTATTGTAGCTCAATTTACTCCTTTAACTAAATGGGTGTTATCTCACATAATATTCCCCAAACTTTCTTCAGTAACAACCCCTGCTGGGAATCTGTGCATGGCACAGAAGGGAGAGCTAACCGTGCTTTTGAAAGTCACCTGAACAGTGTCTTATTACATGGCTGTGTTATAATTCAAATAATTAGCTCCTTACTAATAGGCCTATTCAGTGGCTTGTGGCTGAAAGAATCAAAATCAGCGAGGGACCCAAACTTGCTTCAACTGTAAAGATGCTTGTGGAGCCCTGTAGCTGAAGTTCATGGAAAGGGTGGTAGTGGCTCAGGAGGAGAGCGAGGCTGCTGCCTGAACAAGCCCCACAGGAGTCGTGAGGACCCCTGAGGACCCAGGCATGGTTGTCCTCTCCTACACCAACAGCTGCCTGGGCCCAGCACTGTGGGTGCCACTGGACCAGGCACCATCCACAATGGGAGTTTCAGTTGATCCCTACTTTTCAAAATTACGAATATTATTTAAAAAATATTCTTCATACTATACATATAGCACTGCTTATTTGTGCAATTACCTGTTTAGAATTAACTCAAAATAATATTCCTGGCTCAAATATATAGACCCTTTATCCTGCAAAAGATTTTAACAATTTATTCTTACAATCGCTGTGGCTGGTTCTTTTATACTTCACTTACATAGATATTAGGAATCTTCTAGCCTCTGCCAAATGATGGTATTTTCTCTATACTTTAACTTTGCATTTCTTAGATTTTTTAGTAATTTTGAACATATTTTTCATATTTATTGGGTTTTTTTCTTCTTATGTGGGAGGTTTATTCATATCCACTGCTGGGCTTTCTCTTGGATTTGTGGGAATTGTTAATTTATTATTAGCACAACCTTTTGTTGGTAATGTGTGTTAAAAATATTTTCCCTAATTTTTATCTTTTGTCAGATTTCATTTTTTCCAAGTTTTTCCCTTTCATGTAGCTGAAATGATAAGATTATTTTCCTTTCCAGTTTAATGTCATGCTGAGAAGTTCTTCCTCTCTTGAGGGTTATAAAAATAGCCTCTTGCATTTTTCTGTTTTATTTCTAGTTTTTTTGCCTCATACTCTGAGCTATCTAAGATGTTCCTGCTTCAAGGAGTCAGATGAGAGGTTGGGTTGGAGTCCTCATCTGTGTGACCCCCAGCTCAGCTTTCCCTGCTGTCTGCCTCCCTGGGCAAGCAGCTCTTCTGCAGCCTTTCCTTCCCACAGTGGAATCCTGGAGCCAAGTGCACATGCACATGTACACACATGTACATGTGCACACTCACATACACGCATGCGCCACGGCTTCACATGCTTGGGCAAGATGAGAGCTGCTTGTGATCCAGCCCAGGATGTGCCCAGCAATAGAGGTGTTGCTGGAGGATGAGCTCCTGGGCCTGATTGGAGAGCCTCCTGCTGGCTCTGAGCTCCAGCAAGTCAAACTAGCTGATCCGTCTGTTTGTGTACAGTTCCTGGGACTATGGGTATAAAAAAATCCCCTTCTCATTGGGTCTGGAATGCAGTGGTGCCTTTCCCTGCCCTTGTTTATTCTAAATATTCTTGTTTGATCCAGCACTAGGCTGGATGATTCTTAATCTTAAGTGTATGTAGGGATCAACCATTGCAAAAACTTAGTGAGCGGTAGATTCCCAAGGCCCCATTCCTGGTTCAGCAGGCCTGGGGTCAAAGTGCAAGGCAGTCTGCATTTATTTCTTCCACAAGTGTTTCATGAGGATTCAGGGCACTGGTACGGAGGCCATGGGTACATGATGATGGGCATAATAAACATGTGGCTTATACTCTACTGGGGAGGGTGGATAATAAGCAAACAAACACACTCACTTGGGTACCAAAAACATTCTATTAGGCAAGGTGCTGACTCTGACAAAACTTGGGATGGAAGGAGGATGGTCCATGGAACCCACCGAGTAGATTAGAAAGACGGCCAGTCTCAGCTGAGTTCCTTCGCTGCCTTCTGTCCGCCACCTCTAGGCACTGACACAGGCTAGATCATCCTCTGCCATGATGGTTAAAAGGGGAAGTGCTGGTGGCTTTCTCAGAAGCTTGTGATGTGTCTCTTCCATGGCCTTTGTCATCTTTGCCCCATTTTTCCCAAAGCCTCAGTAAGATCACTTAAAACTCTGAGCAGAGAAGATGGCAACTGGATAAAATATTGCCTCTTAAATAAATTAAACAGGATAGTCTCTTGCCTCTCTATGGTAGGGAAAGTGGAGACTCTTTTGGAAAGCCATAGTTCATGGTCAACAAATTTTTAAGCTCAAAGAGAAGAGAAGAGGCAAAAACAAGCCTCTCTTAGTAAAAAGCATCTTCCCATTTAGGGGTCATGGACCGTTTTTGGAACTCTCTAAAACTGACATCAGCCATGTCCCTCTTTAACAATAAGAGGATGGAGGACCCAACAGGTGGAAGGGCTTGTCAAGGTCCAGCGATTCAGTAGTGCAGTCAAATGCTGTCCATCCTATAACTCCAAGCTCATGTTCTTTGTGTCTCATCACGGATGACTAGCACATGGCCTCCAGCTTCACAGCATATTATTGTTTCAATGTCCTTGCTTATTAATTATATAATCTGTGTTGTTTCTGGGTCAGTTTTGATCAAGTGACTTTCTCTTTTCATGGATTTTATTTTACCAATTCTTTGTATACTTTGAACTTTTTACTACATTACAGACATTATGAATTTTGAATTTACGTTAGATATATACAGAACTTTCCATCCACAAAGAGCAAAGTACATTTTCTTTACAACTGCACATGAAACATTTTCTAGGATAGATCATACATTAGGCCATAAAAGATGTCAATATAATTAAAAGGAATGAATCATCTACACTATGTTCTCTGATCACAATTAGATGAAATTAGAAATCAGTAAGAGAAGGAAATTCAGGAAAATCATAAATGTGTGGGAATTAAATCACATACTCTGAAATACTAAATGAGTGAGAGAACACATACAGCAGAAATTATTAAATACTGAAAGAGGAAGGAAAATGAAAACATAATATAGACGGCCTACAGTATGTAACTAAAGCTATACTGTATACAGAAGGAAACTTAAAGATATCAATGATTACATTATAAAAGATTTCAATTTACCTATTTTCCCAACCTAAGAAACTATAAAAAGAAGTATCAACGAAGAAGAAAATATGTGAGGATTAATTAGAAATAGATAAAATGAGGGCTGGGGGTTTAGGCTCAGCGGCACTGTGTCTACCTCACAAGTACAAGGCCCTGAGTTTGATCCCTGGTACCAAAAAACAAAAAAGAAATAGATAAAATGGAAAGTAGGAAGAGAAAAATTCATAAAATAAAGCTGGTTTTGTACAGGAAATAGTACCAAGAATCAATAAAGGGGATCATATCAAATTAAAAACCTTCCCCCTGGCAAAAGAAACAACCAACAGGGTGAAAGAAAATCTACAGAATGGGAAAAAATTTTGCCAGCTATTCCTCAGACAGAGGACCAATATCTAGAATATATAAAGAACTTCAAAAAATTAGACATTGGACTTTAATAGAGACATTACAAAAGTAAAAGAATTATAAAGGAACACTATGAAAATTTTATGGCAATAGATTAAATCATCTAGATTAAATGTACATATTCCTAGAATGATAATACTAGAAACAGACAACTTGAATATCACTATAATAAATAAATTTAATTACTAATAAAAAATTTTCCCATGAATTAAAGCCAAGTCCAAATAGCTTCACCGGTGAATTCTTCTATACATTTAGAAAATTGACTAATCCTTCAGAAAATCCTTCAGAAAACTCTCCCAAAAAGCAGCAGAAGGGATACTTCTTATGAAACCATTTTTCTTCTCATACCAAATCCAAAGGTGTAAGAAAAGTAAAATAGAGACCAACATCCCTTATGAATACAGATGCAAAATCCTCAGCAAAATACTAGGATGCCAAACAGACCGTCATATAAAAGGAATATAAACTATGGCTAACTGGGAGTTATCCTAAAAATATAAGGTTGTTTCAATATCCTCAAATCAACATATTCATGGAATGAAGGACAAATACCAAAATTCCATTAGAAAATCAACAGCCCACGTTCTTCCCCTCCAGTTCTCTTTTTAAGCTGTTGGCAACTATCCCCAGGTGGGTCTTCCATGCCCAAACCAGGCTGATTCAGTTCAGCTGGGTATTCCAAGTTGACCATTAGTTAATCTACCACAGGCCAGAAAAAGAAATAAGAAGCAACAAAATCAAAAAGAAAGAAGTAAAACTATCAATATTCTCTGATGATCTTGTATTTGGGAAATTGTAAGACATCCAGGAAAAACTATTAGACCTTATGAACAAGTTCAGTAACAATGCAAGACTCAAGATCAAAATTAAAAAATTGTGTTTTATACATAAAAATTAAATTTGAAAATTAAATTAAGGAACCAGTTTCATTTACAAGAGCATAGAAAAAAGAGTTAAATACTTAGCAATAAACTTGAAAAAAGAATTGTAAAACTATTAAAAGTCAGAACACTGTACTTGCATACTTGTGTTTATATATGTTTATTGCTGCATGATTCACAATTGTCGAGACATGGAATTAGGCTACATGGTCATAAATGAATAAGTGGAGGAATGAAGCGTGTTATGCGTGCACAATTCAGTATTATTCAGCCACAAAGAAGAACAAATTTTGTCATTTTCACGAAAATGGATGGAACTAAAGACCATAATGTTAAGCAACATACGCCAGACTCAGAAAGGAAAGTATAGTATTGCATGTTTTCTCTAATATGCAGAATATGAAAAAAAAAGAATGGCATGAAGGTAGGAAGACTGTTAGATAAGAGGAAGATGGTGGGGGAAGGGGGTATAGGAAGGGAAATGGGGGGTGAATTTGGTCAAAATATGTTATATGCAGGTATAAAAATGCTACAATGAAACTTAATATTCTGTAAAATTAATATGGAGTATGAAAATATATGTAGAAAAAAGTATTGTAAAAATTATACCCTAAAAATATAAAATAATTAAGGCTGATATAAATAAACTGAAAGACATTCCATATTCATGGATCAGATGACTTCAAAAAAAGATGCTTATACTCCCCAAATGAATCTATAGATTATCACAATCCCTATAAAAATACAAGTTTCCTTTGTTTCAGAAAGCGAGGAACTGATTATAAACCCAGATGGAAATACAAGAGATCCTGAATATCCAAAACAGCCTCAGCAGGGGTCAAAGTGCATTGACTCACACCTGGCAATTTCGAAGTTTACCAAAAAGCAACAGTATCTCTGATGACATTCTCGTTGATATAAACATAAAAAGCACTTGGCAATAGGATTAGGTTTATGATCAGCTGATTTTAAGAAGGGTATCAAGACAATTGAAGGATGAAAGAGTAAGGTACTGAGCGAATGGTGCCCCGGGAATCTGACGTTTACATGTGAAGACAGGACCTGCATCCCTGCCTTATGCCATGCATAGGAATTAGCTCAGAAGGATCATTTACCTAATGTGTGGGTCTAGAACTCTGGAAAGGAAACATTAGTTTAAATCTTTGTGACCTCAGGTAGGCAATGATTTCTTACATTTTAGCCCAAAAGAAAGTCACAAAAGAAAGATGAATTGCACTTTGTCAAAATTTAAATCTTTCCTGCTTTAAAGCACATTCTTAATGGTGAAAATATAACCCATGCAATTATTGGAATAAAACACTTACAGATTGTATATCTAATATGGGACTTGTACATCTAATGTATGCAGATCTCTTACAAAAATGAATAGTAAAATGAACATCTAAGTAAAAAGTAAGCAAAGGATTTGAACAGACCTTTCGTCAAAGAAGATTTTCAATGGCCAATAACTACATGAAAAGATATTCAACATTGTTAGTTACTAGGGAATGCAAATCAAAACATAATGAGATACCATGTTACATCCTTTACGATAGCTAAAATAAAGAAGACAGGAAATAACAAACATTGGTGAGGATGTAGAGAAGTTGCTACCAGGGATGTCAGTGGGGGTACAGTAGAAGTTCAAGGGAGCCAGGGATGAATGGCAATTCATTGTTGGCAGGCATGTAAAATGGTACAGCCTTTTTGTAAAATAATTTGGTGATTCCTCAAAACGTTCAGTACTAGAATTATAATATGATGCAGAAATTCTGCTCCTAATTAGATACTCAGAGTAATTATCATGAAATCATGTAAGCCTGTACACCAGTGTATGTAGCAACAGAATTCATAACAAGAGAAAAGTGGAAACCACTCAAGTGCTTCTTGCGGACAAACAATATGTGGTATCTTCACACAAAGGAATATTACTTATCCACAATAAAGAACAAGGCATTATCAATACATAGTACATGAATGAACCTTGAATCATTATGCTGAGTGAAAGAAGCCAGACAGAAAGATCACACATTGTGTAATTCCATTTACATGGGATGTTTATAATAAGCAAATCTGTGGAGTCAGACAGGAGTTTCAGGATTGCCAGGGCTTGAAGGAGAAGGAAGGGAGATTTGACTGCTAGTGAGCATGTGGTTTCTTTTTGGGGTGATAGAAATGTTTTGAATTAGAATGCAGAACTCTCTGAATATACTAAAATGCATCGACTTACACACTTTGAAAAGAGAATTCTTTAGTCTGTGAGTGGTATCTCAATAAAGCTCTTGTTAAAAATAACATATGAGTGTCTATTTCTTTTTTTTTGGTACTGGGGATTGAACTCAGGACCTTGTGCTTGTGAGGCAGGTGGCGGAAACACTGAGCTAAATCCCTGACCAGCAAGTGTCTATTCCTAATGTGAAAAATTTATAAAATTCTGTAGAAAGTGGCTGAGGGAAGCTGGGATAGGTGAGTCTGAACCACACCCATAGCCTGCACCTGGCACTTTCTTAAGACCCACAAATAAGATCTTCTGGCCTCAGTACACCACAGCATGGCCAGGCTGGCTCCATAGTGGCTCTAGGCATTTCCCTACAAGTGATCATGTTTTCACAGTAGAAGGAGAAGAAGGCTGACAGGAAATAACAGCTCCTGTGCTGTCCCTGGGTCAGGGGTTTGGGAACCACCTGGGGCTTTCGTGAGTAATCTGCTTCCTGCCAAGGAAGAGGCCCAAAGGATTCCCCACCCTCAGCACAAATGGCAACGGGCTTCTCACGTGTGTATCCAGGACAGGGTGCAGAAACAGGTGTGTGCACGCCAAGCTACCCCTGGAAGCTGTAATGGCCTCAGGTTGGCAATGGATTTAGGTTCACGGGGGAGGGCTAGTTCCAGTGGCTCCCTTCCTGATGATTACAGGGCTATGTTATGAAGAGCACAGCTGATCATTCATCCTTAGTAATGGCCTGTTTGCCTGGGACACTTTAGACATGCACAAAAACCAGAAAATGCGGTGCCCCTAGCTTTAAAGAAGGTGAAGTGGATATTGCAGGATGCATTAGTTCAATGGTTCTCAAACTGTAGCCTGCCTCAGAATCCTCTGGAGAGTACAGATTCCAAGATCTACCCTCAGTGTTTCCTTGTCAGCAGATGTGGGTGCATAGCCTAGTACCTTGGCATACTCTCAACATCTCCTTCATTTCCTCCTCTTTTTCTTTTCTTCCTCTTCTCCTTCCTCCTCCTCTTCCTCTTCCTCCTCCTCCTCCTCCTCCTCTTCTTGGTTTTATAACTTGTGTGTATGTCCCATTTCTGTACAATACCTTCACTACATTTTAACCTAATCCTTGAATTTCAGTCTTATTTCTGGAATCCCCCTCCCCCCCCACCATGTGGTCCATTTTGCGAGGAAAACACAAAGAAAACAACCGCAATGGTAGTTTTTCAGACAGAATTGTCTTGTTTATCCTACAACCAAGGATGTGTAGTGTATCTTGAAATGTGTTCAAGTGGGAAATATGTTTCTTTTTAGCTTTCAAACACAATGAATTTACTTGAAATAAAAACTTTGGGATCAGAGCAAAATAAAAGTAGTTTATTAGGCACAGTGTCATGATAATGCCATACATTCAGCACAAAGCAGGGAAAAATGTGTATTAGTCCATGTTGCACTGCTATAACAAAATAGTGAGGCTGGGTGACTTCTAAATAAAGATCCAGTTTTGCCCTTTCACAACAACTCTCTTGTGAGAACTAACCAAGGCCCCGAAATAACTACATTGATTTCTTCCACAGGCAGGATCCCTAATGAGACATCTAATCACCTCCTCCAAGGCCACCCCTCTCAAGGGTTTCACCACTTCCCACCACCGCACACTGGGAAGAAAGTTTCTAAAACAGTCCCCTTGGGGAAGACATTCTAATCCCAGCACAGAGTTGTTGGTTTGCTGCTCCTCCTATTCTACCTGCTCTGTCCAAATTGTGGAATTGTGCTGTACTTTCTTTTTATCTAAATGCTTCAGTGAGTGTGCTCTCTGCAAGTCTGTCTGGACAGAGGTCTTTAGTGCTGAGAGAGGTTGAAGACAGTGTTTGGTCCATGCCAACCAGAGAAGATGGCATGGCTTATAAAACTGTCTGGCTAGCAACTCTTGTAGATTGTTAGAGTTTCCCAATGTTTTCTAATAACTAAGCCTATTATGAAACTGGAGCTTTGTGCATGAAGCACAACTTCCTCTCAGGAACTGAACTCAAAACTGGGGTTTGGACCTCAGCCAATTTTCTGGGTGAAGAGGAATGTTGTGAGAAATCAGGATTCCTGGTCCTGACAACCCGAAAGTCACTCCCATGGGAATGGAAGCTTTGGTAAGGCAGGCACATGAGCGCATGGAAGGGACTTTCTTCAGCCAGACACACAGTGACTGGCTTCCTGAGGACATCTAGTCCTGTTCTGGGCTTCAAGAAGTTCTGCAGTTGTCTTAGGAAAGCAAGCTTCACACGTGACTCATTTTCACACTCACAGGACACTTTCTTCAAGTGGGTGTTTGGAAAGAAAATGCAAGATGTAACCCTCTGATGACTCAGATTGACAGTGTCTAGATTAGGACTTTTCTCCCCTTTTTTGCGTCACCCTGATGGATGGTTTGTTTCCCAAAGTGCCAGGAAGTCAAATCAGCCCCTTATGTATAACCCTCCCACTTGCTGGAAGTTCTGAATCGTCAATAGTCTCAACACAAGTAGATATGCTCCCCCCCACCCCTTTCAGGCTGTTCTAGTGCAATATCTGATGAGGATCGGAACAGTCAATAGATCTGCGCGTGGCTGATGATATATTTAAACATTTCCCCAAGTACCTAAAACCATTCTTACTGGTTATTCAAAAACAATTGCAGTCCATGCTAATGCTTTATGAGAGTGGAAAATCAGTAGCCTAACACTAACTTTTGTTTTGACGCTGCCAAAGCTCCATAGTGTTGGCCGAAGCCTCATCAAGACTGTGAATTGCACTTTCCTTGTTGCCAAATGGAGCTACAGCAGCTATAATAAGAGGCTCAAATGAGAAGGGCAGTGTGAATCCCCTGGCCTGGAAACCCCACTACAGTAAATCCAGTTAGATTGCACAAGGTCCATTGGTGCGTTCTGTGCATTTTCTCCTTGGTTCCCAGAAAGTCTAGAGAATCAGGTGTTTGTTCCAAACCGGGAAATGCAGCAAAAATGATGATTGCCTGATTCTTTTAGTAGCATGCTAGAGCATTTTCTAGCAAGTCAGTCTGGTGGTCTGGTTTGACTGAATCATTAAATAAAACAAATACTGACAGTTTATAGCCTGGTGATAGCAGGGGCTGATCGGAAGGAACTGACTAGCATTGATCCTAGTTGAGGAGTGACTCTCAAAAGTGGGAGGGTCTTATTTTCCTGTACAAGCTAACTAGTCTTAAATACAGCATGTATTAAAAAACCTTTAAAAAGAAATATGCTATATATACAGAAAAGTGAACACATCATGGACAAATCAATGATTTTCACAAAATGAAATATGAACATGCTAGATTACTTGTGCATTGTACTGTTAATGGACATTGGGATAGTTTCTAGTTTTTGGCTATTAAATATGGAGCTGTTATAAATATTCTTGTACATGTTTTTTTGCTGGCCTTTCTACACTTTTCCATTGGTCATAAACCCTAAAGTGAAATTAATGAATCCTAGGATAGACATAGCTTCTTTGATAGTAAGTGCTGCCACAGAACTTCTCAAAGTGGGTTTTTGAATATATACACTCACCAGGAAGACCTGAGAACTCTAGTTGCTGGAAATCTTTACCAACATTTGGTACTTTTTTCTCTTTTTAAAATTTTTACCATTCTGATAGGTGTAGCCTGATAATTCATTCTGCTTTACTTACATTTCCTTGATGGCTAATGAAGCTGAAGAGTTTCTCAAATGTTTATGGGCCATTTAAATCTTCTCTTTTGTTACTTCTCTGTTCAATCTTTTGTTCATATTTCTATTGGATTATCTGGATTTTTCTAATAGGCATTTGTAATATATTCTGGCTTAGAAAACTTTTTCAGATATGTCTGTTGAAAATGTATTCTTTGGCTCTGTGGCCTTTTTTGATTTAGCAATATTCTTTCCTTTATGATTATAGTGTTCTGTGTCTGTTTAACAAAGCCATGATGATTTTCTGCTATGATTTCCTTTAAAAGCTTCGTTGTTGCTTTAACTTTCAGATTGAGATCTGAAGTTCCTCAACAATGGGTTTTTGTATGGTATTAAGTGGTGGCTCAAGGTTATATTTTTATTTTTTCTGCCTGAGTATCCAAATCTTTCATTGCTATTCTTAGAGAAGATCACCCTTTTCCCACTTTACTTCAGTATTATGTTTAGGATAATTCAGGTAACTGTGCATAGGTGAGTACTTTTTTTGGACTATTTATTTGATTGTATGGGGGAGTTTGTCTAAATCTGCTGTGATATTAAGATATCCTGGTTACTATAACCTCAAAATAAGACTTGATATCTGACTAGTAGGATAAGCCCTCAAGCTTTACATTTCAAGATTTCCCTGGATACTCTTTTCATTTTATATTGCCATGGAGTTTTTAAAATCATCTGTCAATTTCCACAAAAAACCTGCAGTGATTTTGATTTGGATTGTGATGAATTTATAAAACAATGTGGAAAGAATTACATCTTTGCAATATTGACTCTTCAGTGATTGAACCCAGTATATCTCCACACTTAGACATTTTAAAATTTCTCTTAGCAATTTTTGTGCTTTTTCACTGTCGAGAATGTGCATAATTTTCATTAGATTTACTATTAGATGATTGCTGTTTTGATGATAGTGGACATGACGTCATTTTAAAAAACTGAATTTGTAGCCATGTCTTGACTTATTGTGTTTCACAGAGATTGTTGTTTTTTTTTTTTTTAACTATAAATTAAGGTTTTGTGGCAACCACGTGTCCAGCAAGTCTTTTGGTGCCATTTTTTTCCAGTAATATCAGCTTACTTTGTGTCTCTGTGTCACAGTTGGTAATTCTCAGTATTTCAGGTCTTTTCATTATTATTATTATATCTGTTATGGTGATCTGTGGTCAGTGGTCTTTAATGTTTTTACTATAATTGTTTCAGGTCACCATGAACCCAACCCACGTAAGACTGAAGTTAATAGATAAATGTGGTTTGGGTCCTGATTGCTCTGCGGACCACTAATCTCCCCCCAACCCCATCTCTCTCCTTTTCCCTGGGCCTTCCCAATCCTTGGGAAACAATAGTAGTGAAATTAAGCAAATTGATAA